GGACCCCGCACTGGTGCTCCTCCACGCTGTCTGCAGTCAGCAAGGGGGCTCCCTTGCAAGTGCACAGCAGCAGCGGCAGTTCCTCGATGTTCAGTTTGCAGTCAGAAAGAAACTGGAGGCAACGTACAGAAGGAAAACCAACTGTTACCTGTCTTTCTTAACACCCTTGTAAAGGTGACTGCTTTTATGACTCATAGCTAACACAAACCAGCTGGAAAAGATGCAGCCTAGACTTACACCGTGGCTTAGAGAAACCTAAAAGAGCATTTAGCATTCACGGTACGTCTGCGTTATTAAAATAAGCCCCCATCAGTCTTAACTCAGTCAAGTCCTTTTTCAGGTTTTGTGGTTAATTTCTCTTGTCATCTGGAGCAATCCTTAACATGCAGAACGTCAATGAAACGGGAAGATTGGCGGCAAGGTTTGGCTCTTGCTGTGCGTGTGCAGGAGGATCTGAGCGCAGGGGATGTGCATTGCGGTCGTTCCTTTGTTCGCATTTAATGGGACGAGAAACAAGAATGTAATTATGCCCTGTCTCACTCGATCTCCTCCCTGCCTCTACGTATTTGAACTCTGAAATAAAGGCAAGTGGCAATGCAGCTTTTTCTGGCAGTTGAGTGCATCCCCGAGGCAGATCAGGAGTGATGCTGCCCAGATCATTGCACGTTGTGCAGTTTCCATCTGATAAGAGCTTCCCGCTGAGCCATCTCTCGTGGCAGGGAACATGGCCATTACAATCAGTATTTCAAGCACCTAAAAATGATCAAAGTTAGAGGCACGGTGTTTCCTGTTTGTTTTCCTTGTAGGTTTGACAACCCCGTCAGAAAATGCTAGCTTCGCTTTTTTCCCCTGAACAGCTGGCTGATTTCTGCTTATCTGACAACACCCTTTTGTGTGCTACTAGATTTGAGGATGCCACACCAAAATGGGGGTTGGCTCAGAGAACAGCTCTTCCAGTTTAGCTATTTTAGCTATTTATTTTCAGTTTAGCTGCATACAGCAAAGTAAATTCATTTTTACTCTAAACCTATCAACCCCTCTTAAAGCACAGCACTGGGGTTACAAAAGATTTGCTGCCTAAGGTTTCTGCAAATTGAAAACACTTTATTAAAAAGGGTGTTTGAAGTGTGCAATTTTGGTTGGCTTCAGAGTGAAATGAAAACGTAATGGCAAAGACAAGAAAGGAGTAGAAAACGCAAAAGAGGATCAGTCGGCCTGTACAACACCTGAGAAGAGGGCTCGAGCTGACACCTTTGGGAGGCAATTCAGGACTAACAGCGAAGGAAGGGAAGGCATCACTGATGTGTACTAGACCTGAATAAGGAGCAACCTACTGAGCCCGAGCTGCAAGGCAGTGCTAGAGAGGTACGGAAAAACAAATGAATGAGAAAACACTTGATTGATGAAATTGCCCGAAATAAGGAAGGACGAAAACCACTGTAATATGTAAACACTTTAACTGTAAAGTTGTTTAATCTGAGCTATGCTAGGAACTGGCAGGGTAATGCATTATTGCTACTTCCTAGGCTACGTAACAGACTCAAAGATGGACTGTGAAATTTTCCACTTAATGACAGGGATATTAAATTATAAAAAAAAGATAAGAGTTTATCTCAAAAGCAATGAGCTGTTTTCTCAAGACCTTGCTGCCTAACTTTAGAAGATATACTGTGGAAGGTTAAGCAGTTCTCAAAAGGAGAGAAAGCTCAGCAGAAAGAATGCTGATTTAAAGCTTCTTTCCATTTCCAGATTATTATTTTTTTTTACCTAGTAAGAGAATCTAAACAAGGGGAAAATGTATTCCAGCTGATTAGGATCAAAATCCAAGTTTCAGACGTATAAAAGAATAGTCCGGATAGAGAAGCCAATAATTAACTATGAAAAAAGCCATGGCAAATGTGAAACCCACTTGGCATGGAAAGCAGAGGGGAAAAAAAGGACAAAAGATTGGAAAAAGTTCTTGCAGGAGCAAAAGTGCAGCCAAAATAGAGAATTTGAGTATATGAGGAACAACCCGAAAGGTTACATGGGAGGATTCTTGGGAGTGAGCAAGAATCGTTGCACAGTGACCAGTGTTGGTGCCTAGAAAGAAAGCTGTAGGTAGCTTGGTCAACTTGGAAAGAGCATATTGCCATTGCAGCTGTATTCTATTTATTAAAATTAAAATAAATAAATAAATAATAAGGAGCTAAGCACCATCCCAGAGCCACCGGCTGGGAGCCTCCCACAGCCCCAGGGACACAGGAGCCCCTTCTGCACAGGGACTGGCACCTACCAAACTGCACAAGTAACACGTTTAAACCTTTCTGAAAAACCAAGTAATCACTAATTTCCTTTAAACTGAGGTATTTGAATATCAACTAAACAACGAAGGCAAAAATGACAAAACTAAAATCAATCCTCTTCTGTTATTTTATTTCAAGACAGTGATGGATCGAGTGCTGGATGTGACAGGCCTGTTTCAGCAGCTATTTTCTTCAACTAGAGCAAAGGAGAAGTGGTGCAGTCTTCATTAAACACACATCTTTTCAGACTGAAGTTCAATATGAAATAAGAAGCGATGGGTTTTTGTATTAAAGGGCATGGTTGCTTACTGAGTTATTCATATCACAGTATTCAGCTTCTGCTCACAGACAAAAGCAAATAGTTTAAAATGTATTTTAAAATACTCCGGTACTTTGGGAAAGGTAGAGTTCTTGCTGAGATTTTCAACTCTCTACTATTTTTACAGGAAAAGACCCAATAAATAAGGTAAAATAGATAAGGCAGCACTCACTGTATCAGCAGTTCGGACTCTCAGACTGCTGAGGACTGTCCTCAGGGAAATGAGGTTACATTTAACTTACGCTCTTATCACATATATAGAATAACAGATTTCTCATTAATCTCTAAATTCATATTGAAATAGATTAGGCAAGAATTACTAGAACAGGAGGAAAATCATGACCAGACCTTAGAAGCAGTACTCGGTAGCCAGAGATCTCATTCACTTTAGAAAATGAATACTCTGGTGCTGGACCAAGTCAGAGAGACTGAAGAAGACTGCTCAGTGCTTTCAGGAAAGAAAGGAAACCTCCTTGTATATGCATGCTTACAAAAGAAGTCACACAATACTTAGGGCTAAAAAGGTATTGAGGAAAAAACAGTCATCAAGAATAATTAAAACATGAGCAGTAGGTGGTGGTGTGTTGTGGTTTACAGGCGCAAAACCCAGCAAGACAACAAGGGATTGTGGCTGCCTAGCTGAATTCTACTGAATATTCAAAGCCCTTTGAGAGGTGCTTGTATTTGCAGCCCGAGGTGTTTGTTTCTGTTCGCACTATAACCATAGCAAGCATCTATTAACTGCGTTTAAACAAACCGGGATCAAGCTGCATTTAGCAGGGCTCGGCAGATGCCAGGTAGTACCTGATACCCGTGAAGCACTCACAGTCATCCCCGCTGCCAGGTCACAGGGAGATTTCTCTGATCATTTGACTCAGAAAAGGCTGCGAGGAACTGGCACAGAGCTTCCTGTGCAAAGTCCTCTCCCAGGTGAGCCTTCCTCCTCCGTCCCTTCAATGATTCAGTGACACCAACGAAGCTCAGACGAAGCTGTCTTGGGGCGTGGGAAGTGGTAGATGGCTCTTCAGCCATCGTTTCTGTGAATTTTTTTAATTTATTGCCTATGACAATGTGAAAGCAGCTATGCACCTAATGGAACTGCGTTTCCTGTTTTTATCGCCACGATCATCTAGGTGGGGTTTGTACCGTGGTTTGCCCTCACATTTCCTTAACACAAACATCACAGGAAACCAGTGATTTTGAGCAGATCCTCCTCTTCGAAGGAAATTTTGGCAAATTTCAAAAGTTACATGGTTGCCAAGGCGCTACCGTCAGAAAATGCTTGTGAGCAAACATTTAGCAGATTTCAAGTTTCCTAGCAGTCAGGTTTCAGAGAATCTAGAGCAGCCATATGACTAATATGCTAAAGAGCTCCTTTAACAACCAACAGAAAAACTAAACAGAAAAATCAAGATGAGCGTTTTCCATGGATATCTCACTTCGGTATCTTATAATTATTCAGAACAAAGCTTCAGCAGGTGAGCTGAAGTGTGACTAAAAGGAATATGAAATAAGAAAAAGGACTCTGTAAGCGCAGTGCACTGGGAATTGTAAATATTGCCACTACTACCAAGAGTCAGAGTAAAAAACAATGGGTCGGGCATTCTTTTCCTCAGAAAAATAGTACTTGTTTATTGATGGTGTAAATGTTGCTAGGTTACATGGATTAAGTTGAAAACAAAAAAAAATATCCTTTATGAATCCTGTACACCACCTTCAGCAAAGAATACTGTCAATTTAGGAAAAGTATTTTTTCCAGATAATTCAAATTTTCCTGAAATGATGGACCAGACAGAGGGTTTTAATTATAGAGGAACCTATAGGAGGCAGAATGTTGGCCAACTACTCAATAAGGAAACTTCTTAAGCATATTTAGAAATCAATACCAATTTTAATTTATCAACTCTGCCAGTGCCCAGGGGAAAATATTAAAGCATAAAATAGAAAATATCAATATGACTTTAAAGAAACTGTGGCCTGGAATACACTTTCTGTCAAAAGGAAAAAAATGGTGTATAGAACAAGCTGCAACTTGCTGTTATTGGAGGCCAAAACCAGAGAGGTGCCCAAAAGGTGGTTATATTGAAAATTGAATCCAGAGTTCTGAAACGCGATCTGAGATGCGATCTGGAGCTCAGCACATCCCTCAGCTGTGGATGTGGCTTGGCAGAGCTGGAGGTGCGGGCTGGCGAAGTGCTGCAGTGCTCTGTGCCTCCTGCTCCTCTTCTAACTGGAGGCAGAGCTGGGGGCTAGGAGATCTTTGGTCTGATTAAGTAAGGCAGTTCCTCGTGACACAGTGTGCTTGTATATTTTCCAGAAAGAGCAACCTTAGCTGTAATAAATTTTAGTTCGCTAGGAAACAAAACTAAAAAGACAAATTTTCCTTTTGTTTGCAGATTTCCCAACAGAGGAATGTCCTCAGACTGTACTGGTGGAAAATGTGGATTGAGATTATCCTGGAAGAACAGACTTCGACCTGCAAAAGAGGCACAGAGACCTTACTTTTCCCAAATGATTCAACGTGTCCTGAAGGTACTGCATCAGCCCATGAGGTGGCTTTGGCCCCTGCCTGTTTTGCTTTTGCCTGAGCCCCTTTTCAAGGTGCAGTGGAGGAGCCAGGCTTCGTGATCCGATTCCCATCAGGACGGTTCCCTGCACACGTCTCTACGCACTCCCACTTCTGAAGCCTAAGACAGAACTTTGTGAGAGGGCTGCACAGGTCAGTCTCTGGGACTCCCATGCCAACAAACACCTCTGTCATTTACACACATTCCTGTGCTGCCAAGCTGACAGCTGCTTGCTCACGTGGCGGGGCTGCACCAGCAATGCACAACTGTTGAACCGCAGGAGAGCTGGCAAAAAAACCCCTCCTCTGCCCCGTGGACACTGGTGCTGCCTCTGACATGGAGGAGGAAATCTCTGTCCCTGACCTCCCCAGGAACAGCTCACCTAGGGTCCCGGTTTGTCTTGCCTCACCTACCAGGCTATTAGTGTCAGGCTTTAACAATCCGTTGCTGCTGCAGTTCCCATAAAGGTGGAAAACACAAAGCCACCCCCACCCCCACATTTGTGTCCTTAACTGCACAGGCCAAGTACAGATAGAAAATTGAACTTGTTCATTTTGTTATTGTTACTGAGAGAAACGCCAGGAGTGACTGTGTTTTTGGAACAAACAGTGCTTGTGACACGGGAGTGGTTCATTCCTTCAGCTGGACCCACAGGTAGGAAAATGGGGGGGAGGGGGAAAGCAATTTTTCATCAGCACACGAGATAACTAGTCCATATTACAAGGTATCACTCCTCTCAAAAGAGACAAACATTTCACATCAGTGCTGTGCCTCACCCGTGATGCCTCCTGAAGAAGCAGAACCACCTCCAGGCTCAGATGAAACCCAACCTTGCAGTCCCAACGCAGCTTTTGCTGAATGGAAACAGGGTGGACCTGGGAAAAAAGAGGCTGGGAAGCTCAGCTTTCTGCACCTGTACTCACAAGGTGGGTAAAGACAGAGATTGTTGTTGCTGAGAAGGCTGCACAATGGTTTCTGTACGCACCTTCCCCACCTCAGCAGCAGCAGCAGCCTGCCTGTTTCCTTGCGGTGCTGGCACTAACAAAACAGGAGAAGACTCAGATCTCCGTGTTCCCTTCTCTCCTACCTATTGCCTGGGGCAGCTTCAGGCTCCTTTCCAAGAGAAGCCTCTGCTGTTGGAGCCGGAGTTCAACCACGTTACAAAAGCCCATGGTGTCTTGAAACTAAGCACGCCCGCGGCTGCTGGGAAGTGAGCGAAGGCGCTCCGAGAACAGCCAGTTCCCTTCCTCGGAGAGATCTCCCATCAGTTGCCAGTTCCTGAACTTTGGCTCCAGCCAGGAGGCAGTCAGCAAATCAGATAATTGCCTGGCAGTGATTGATACAGAGTCAAGGGTGAGTGGGGAGGGGGGGAATGAGCGGGCAGGATTGTGTTTCAGAGGGAAGTGTTTTTTTAGGATTTGTCTCTGCAGGCAGCTGGGAGCTTTTCGAAGTCACATTGGCTTAACCTGAGCAGGAGACTCGCTGTAGTTTTACACCTTTTCAGCATTTCAGCTGGTTCTGCTGAAATCTGTATAGGGATTAAAGATGAGAAGGGACAGAAAATTGGTTTCCCTGCCTTTACAGGAGAAAAAGTACTCAAGGCTAAATGGAAGTTTAATATATTTTGACTGTATTAATGCAGAGAGGAAGAGCAAGCGCCTGCCACTGATAAATAACTATTAGGAAACAGTATTAGAAAGTACTACCAAAAAGAAATGGTGCTGCTAAGATCTGCTTTCAGCATTGGGGTGTTCACAACCAGGCTGCTCAAAATTTACTTCGGTATCAACAGCTGGTGTACAGCTTCTCTCAAACGCAGCACAGCAGCCCTGCTAGAGGAAGGGAGGTCAGCTCACTGCACAGCTGGACATTTCAGCCCTCCAGTCAGCCATACCTAGGGTTAGCAAGAGCATCATGTACCTCAGCAAATTTACATTCAAACTGTTATCTACAAAGGGAAGTAACGCTTATCTGTAGCCTATTGCTGTAACTTTGATACTGATCTTTATAGCCATGTTTCCAGTAAGCCTAGAGAGAACCTGTGAGTTATCAACTGCTTAAACTAAACTGTCTGAATGTGGAGATCTTAGTAAAATTCCTATCCATCTTCTAATTAAGGTTTGTGTTTTTACCAGGTTTGAGACGTAGTTGCAGAACTGTTCTAACACTGAGCTGGTGGGAGATGTCTGCAGTTAGACACAAATGGCGCTGCGTTAGAAATGCTCTTCCATTTCAAGCACGCAGCATCACGCAGTGTGCTCTGCCCTGCAGCCCATTCCCTCGCTTCCACTGGGTGCTTTCTCAAGGCAGTGTCTGCTGCACAGAAAGAGGGGACAGTCATCTGGCAAATTTTGTATGGCAGAATCTGAGACACGAGCAGCTTTTTAAACATTTCCAGGCACCTTACCCAAAACTTTTCTCCTCCCACCACTGTTGTTGGAAAGCAGCTGCTCGTTCCTGATCTCCATCTTCTGTATTTTATCTAAAAGCACCAAATGGAATCGAGCATGTTAAACAGCCAGAATTTTATTATGCAAAATGCAAAGCTCTCGGAAAACTTCAGCTTGGGAAGAATATAATTAGGATAATTGAAATTGGAAAAAGGATCTGAAGTGCTAAAAAAAAAAGTGAAAGAAAAGGCATTGGAGGGATAGCTTGGTAGAAGGGAGATAGATGGCTTACAGTGACTAGTAAGAACTGAAATATCTTTCAGAGCAAGTCCTGCTGCAGGCTATGGGCAGGTGAACCTGACCTGGTGGTGGCACAGCCAAGGTCCAAGCACTTGGAGCCCCAAACAACGGGACAGCACACGCCAAGAAGGGTCCCTCAGTGCCCAACTCATAGCAGGTCTCCCATTCCCCCTCGGCACAGGTTATCGTTAAGCCAGGAGGCTGACAGCTTTCCTCACCAGGGTAGAGAAGAAGAGGCTCCTCCCTTCCAGCTGCCTGTCTGTCCTGCTGGCCATAAAACTTCTGCAGCCTGACACAAAGCTACAGCTGCCACCAATGGAAGCAGCAGCCCGTGGGCAGCAGCTGCTGTGCTCGCTTGCTTCCGACCTTGACTTCAGATTTGCTGGTTTGTCCATCTTGCTGACAGCCCCAGACAGCCACCTGCTGGGCAAACGCATCGAAAAAAAAAAACCAACAAAACTATCTAAAACAGCACTTAGAACCAGGACGGTTGTTTCAGTTCTTCCTAGCTTCCTATGAGGCCAGGAGCTGCCCACGATGCGTTAGTTGACAGGGCAGCTGGAACAGGCAGGTGTTTGGAATTTTGAGAGTATGCGCACATCTGTCCCTCCCAACCCATGTCAGTATTCCCGGAATGTATAACTTAAGAGAAAAAAAAAAGAAAAAAACCAGCTTCATGACACTTCAAAGCTGGCAGAAATCACTGCTAGGCATTGCAGCCTCAGCCCGAAGTCAGAAAGATGACCAGAGCAGACGGGGAACCAAGGCAGCACAGGGAGAGCATTGGGAAGCATAGACCTGTTCCTCTTGAAACAAGTTTGGATTTAGCCTCAGCAAACCTAGATTTGTGTTTAAAACTATTTTAGAAATTAATGGTCTTTAATTACTGCTTCTCTGAACCAGTGTTAACTCTGCGTTCATGCTTTAAGCATTTCATTCATCCATAGCTGCAGTGATTAGAGGCAGGAGCAGCAGCAGGTTTCTAGGCAATGTGGAAGGTCTGGAGTTGGCAACAAGGCAGGGAGAACACAAAGCCAACTCCAAGCAACTGGGCTTGTCCCACCCCAGGGGTTCTCTCAGTGGTTTGACACCTCCCACTCTCTCCCAAAGGTAAATCACCAAAGTGGACTCCGGGGAAGGCAGGTTCCCTTCTGGTCCTTCCTAATTGTTGGGAAGGAAACTGAATTCAAAGCTTCTGAAGCAGCATTGGGTGGAATGTACTGAGGAAAGATCCCATCTGTGCAAAGCCAAGGTGAGGACTGTTTCGGTATGGCACAGCCCAACATGCCCACAGAGGATCAAGGGCAACCTCTCAGTTGCCTTTTCTGTGGGGCATCAGCTTTGTTCTGTTCCCATGCATTTGTGTCCAGTCCTTTTCCTGAAAAACATAAAATCCTTTCCACAGATGAGGAGTGTTGTTTAGTGTCTGACGTTACAGCTTAAGAGCTTTAGCTGCAACACAGCACCTAACAGGACTTGTAAAATGAACGTTAGGTGCAGGACGTTCATTTCCAGGCCTCATGTTAAAGAGCCCAGAAATTCAAAAGCTAAGATGCAAGGCATTAGAGATTCAACACAACACGGCACAACTTAATTCCCATTCACAACTCAGAATTAAGAGTAGGAAAACTTTTGCAAAGCCAACCATGCAAAAATAAACCAAAGCACACATTGTAGCCGAACAGCAGCTAGCTTTATTGAGTTCTGACAACATCGCATCAAAACCAGGAGAAATTAAAAGTGCTTTTTGCTTGTTAGGATTAGTCATTTCTCAAATTAAAATGTGATTGTGCTCAACAGTATTACAATAAAACCAAGGAACAGGAGTTAGAATAAAGTTAAACAAGATGGCAGAGCCAGTGTCACCTTCACATACCCCCCTCGTGTCAGAGTTCTTAGAAGTCCCGTTAAAATTTCTGAACTGCAGGATGCAACATTTCATCAAATACATCAAGGGCTGTTAGGAATCGTGCTGTTCTTGTGAAACCACATTTGGGATATGTTCAGTGGAACAGAAAGTGACAAAGGGATTCCAGAGAAAAGTTCAGGTAAACATTTCCCCACTGGCAACCTTAGTGACGTTTACTGCAAATGTTTGAGCGTAATTCATTTTTCCCCTTAGTTCCGCAGAAAAGGTAAGCGTGCAATATCCTATAAGGTATCTGTAATGCCTCTCAACCCACCCAAACCTAACTCTAACCTCACCTGCTTAGTTCTGTGTTTGCTGCATCACACGCACGTAGGATTTGCTGTCAACATGCAAACAGGCAACTGAAAAAACTGCAAGAGACAGGAATGCTAATGGACATCGATTGTAAATACTATAGTATGTGCAGCTGCTAACTTATGCCCTGAAAGTTAACTACACGCTGCCTAATAAGTTTTTCAGCATTCATTTCTATGTTTCTTCAGTAAATAAAGAATTAATATTTAGGAAATCTCTTCTTCCATGAGGAAGTACTTAAGGTAGTGTGTGTAGCGTGTCTGTTAGCAGCATTACTGCTGTGGCACGTTGGCTCAGAAGACAGGTGCATCACCTTTAACTCCTCATCAACTCTATTTCAGAGTTACGGCTTACATTTCTGAACGGCACATAGCACCACCTAAAGATTATGAGGAAGGCAAAAAGGTATTAGGCAAGCAATCATTCCTGAAACTTCAAGTGATCATTCATTTATTCCTTTGAGGCAGACTCGTACTCTCTTCCTTATCCTCTCTGATTTCCAGTCTTCATAGACCTGGTGCAATCCAGTTAAGGAACTTCATAGCAACTTCAAAACCAAGGAAACATGCCTGGGAAACAGAGAACATACAAAACAAATAAGGATTCTAAAAAAACTATTCCAAACAAGCCTTCTGAATGTAGCACTATAAACACCTGACATGCTGATACGGGAGGAGGAAGAGAGCAAAAAACGTCTTATACCAGAGGCAAGAATTCTGCTATATCTTTTCATACACATGCAGAACTTCTAATCCATTAAGTTCATTATTTACTGAAGGAGAAGCCAGTCCAAACTTATCCACACGTTTCTGTATTCTACCAGTGGATGTATAATCAGACATGAAATACTGTCAGAATAAGCCAAAGGGCTTTCGTGCACAGCTTAGAACTTGTTGGGTTAGTTGGTAGCTCCCCCTAGGTTAAGGTACACTTCAGAATGCAGACACCAACAGCCCAAAGTACTTCCAGTGATGAGAATCTCACTGACACTGGTACAGCAGTAAACAGCTAGTCATCTCCCCTGCAGACTACAAACATGCACTGGATGGCCAGGTCCCCAAAACCCATCTGGAACTGGCAATTTACTTACCGCATTAGCAGGAAATGCCCTGATCATGACAGCTGTGAAGCCTTTATAGAGAGATGCAACTCCCTCCTCTCTGATAAGCTCTCTCAGTACATCTCTAAAGCCATTTGGGTATTTTCCTGGAGGAGCTGCAAGAGACAAAATACATTAGCTAAGCTGTATGGCAGTCACAAATACTGAAGGAATATTTAACAGCCCAGGATTTTTAACAGGTTTGTATTGCTACGCCATCCAAGCATCACCAGAATCCAAGCGCTGTTAAAGCCACGTCGTGAAAGTATCAGCTTGGGAAAATGACTTATTTCAGTCAAAAACAAAGAAATAATACAGCTGGCTTACAAAAGGCTCAGTAAACAGAAGTTAAGTGCTCACCATCACCACAAAAAATTTACATAATTAAGACATCTGGAGGGTGGGGGATGAAGGAGAGAAGAAAGGAAAGGAACTTTTATCAGGATTGGATGCCTGAGCTGTTACTCTCACTGCTGCTGATGGCTCTCTCAAGAGATAGGAAGGCCATCAGTAATAACTGATGAAGCTAGATAATAAGAAGCAGAAAGTGATTCTAACACGTGCCCCAGCCAAGAAGAGCAACAAACTTCAAGTGAAATGCACAGGCTATTTTAATGCTGATGTCACAAATATTTGCTGAGGTGTTTTGAAAATGTATTCTATTCAAAGAACAGGTTCTTCCTTCTCCTGACACCTCTGGAAAGCACCGCCTCTGCCAGCCCTCTGAACCAGTATTCTGCAAAACAACCCAATTAAATGGAACCACCATGGAACCACGTCATCTTCAAAGCAGCACTGTAGATTGGCTCAGTGGAACAAGGATGTAAAGCTGCAATGTCTTTCACACACAGCCCTCTGTACAATAGCAAACAACCACAGCAGCCACTATCACAAAAAAAAGTTTCCTACACTAAATCATCATGATCACAAAGGATGTCCAGTGGAGAGCTGAGTCCACAGGCAGAGACTACAGGAGAGCCTTAGTAAAAATAAGCACTGAATAGCACTCCCAGAGAAAGCAACGAAGGACTCAAACTCCACTGAAGCTCAAAGCCTGGGGCCATCCTCACTATAACTAGGCCACAGATACTTCCAGCAGATCTGTGAGTCCAAAAGCAATACTCTCAGCAAGGCACGCCCAGTTACTGTAACATTGCAGGCAGCACAGGCTAGAATTTACACAGCTGTGTCTGAAGTGAAGCAACAAAGCCCTTCAAAGACTCACATTTGTAATAAAACAGTCATGACACCTGGTTCTATTATTATCATTTCCATGCTTAGATTTCAGAACAGGTAACTAAAATGGGAATAATTGTATCAGTAGGGAGGCAGAGTAAGAAGGAGAGTTGGTGTGCTACTACTCACCGGTCTGGAAACGGGACTTGAGCACATCTGGTGGAATGGCCACTGCCCAGTTGAAGATCCCAGCCAAGCCCCCAGCAAAGAGGATCCTCGGCGCACTGAGGTCACTCACACTGTGGCAGGGATGGGGTGGGAGGAAAAAAAATAAATAGTAAAAACTCATCTGTTTTGACTAAAGTGGCAAGCAAAGGCAGCATAATGCTGCAGATACAGACAAGAGTGCAGTATCTGCGCAAGAACCGGAGTCCTCTGGGCAAAAATTTGCCAACTCCACCCTAAAGGTTCAAATCCTTTAATTCAGCAACACAAGCACAAAATGCTCTGCAGGGGGAAGACTGAGATGGGACACAAAACAAACAAACCATCTTTTTGCACACACAGAGGGGTGAAAGAGCAAAGAGCTACTCCAAATATTCTTTACTTGGCCAATAAGATCCAAGGTTAGAATCTGAGCAAAATGCAGAATATTGTTCTGTCAGTTAACCCCAGAGGAAAACAACGCAACTCAAAATAAGTGACCAATTTTGGGGGGTTATTTTAATGATACTGCTCTAAATCCCTTCTTAACTGGGGAAAATTAAACAGCAGTGTCTGGCTAGTCCAGGAAACGCTGACTATGGGATTTCACTAACCTCTTTCCCTCAGGGGTCAGAATGTTCTTCAGCCATTCGTACGTCATGAAGTACATTCCACTGGCTGGAACATCTAGTGGGTAAACAACAAAATCTTTGAGTAGTGGGAAACAAAACCAAGCCTAGAGACATAGGAGTCCCATGCCAACTCAGCAACACCTCTAAATACATCCAGATTCCTTTTCTGAGCATTCCCTGCAAACAAAAATAGCTGTTGCTCTGGAAATGGAGGAACCTGAACTTTCCCAAGGACAGCAGGTGCTGAAGGGAAGAACTAGAAAAATACCTTGAACGCTTCAGTTGGCAGTCCTTCAAATCAGATTGTAACCCAGCCATTAAGCTGAGACAGCTCTAAGCTTTCTTAATTGCTCCATAGCAGACTAGTGCAGTTCAGGAATTGTACGAGTTTGGCACACTCTTTGTTCTAATTAAGCTGGATTTCTGGATTCGTTGCTGTTGTTATTGACAGATTTGGTTTTGCTTTGTTTTCAGGCACTTCCACAGCCCATTTTTAGTTCATGCCTAAGCTGGACAACCAGCCTCTGGCTAGGGACCCTGACAGTCTCACTAGCTGTTACACCACTATGAGAAGCAGAGGACAGAACAAATTCCTAAACTGGGATATCAAAACAGACATTTCAGGTTATACTTGAAAAATACTGCCCCAAAACAGGGAACAATCTAACGCTATTCAAAGGAGAAAGTCCCCAAACATGTAAAGCCTGCAGCCTCTGGCACAATTACTTTGATACTGTTGCTGAGAGAGGGGTCATGACATCCCAATCCAAAATAACCCACACTCAAAAGGTTAGAAAGTGTAACTGCTTCAATCATATCTTTTAAAGCAATTGTTATTATACAGCAGTCACACACAGCACTCGCAATACTTCTCCCAAGAAAAAAAGCCCATTTCTGTATTTTTCTTTTCTCTTTGTTCTTTGCTCCTCTCCTTTAATTCCTCTGGGCTTCTCATGTCTTAATTATTTCCTATATCCCTCTGATCCTTGTCATCTAATCTCTTCCTCACTCATGAGAATCTCATGTTTATTTCTCAATCCCTTTGAGGCATTGGAGTAACTCTGAAGACTGAAAAAAAAAAAAAGTGACACAAAGCATCTCCAATTGGCTAAAGGGACAGTGAGACGCATGAGACTATGTATGCCAGGCTTCTTATCTTCAAGCACCCCAAGATGAAGCAGCACCAGAACGTTTCCATCCGTTACCTCTCATGAGGGTGAGCACTGTCCCCTTGTACACGCCGCGAATCCCAGCCTCGCGGTACAGCTGTTTTGCACAGTCCAAAGAGCCAGTGTATTTAGTTTCACCTGTAGCTGCCTGGATCTGAAGGATTAAAGTGACAGTTTCTGGCTAGTGAAGGTTTCTGGCTGGTGAGCAATCATTTAGTCAATAATCAGAAAGCCACATGCACGTTTGCAGAGAGGAAGGAGCACATACGCATTCTGGAGGCACTCCTGCATATCGAGCCTCCGCATCATTTCCTCAAGGAGTGCTCTCCCATTCACACTGAGGATACATTTATTGTTCATGCAGTGGCTAGGTTCTCCATTATTTTTCGCCAGTGTAAGTTTGAAACAACTGAAACCTGTTAGGTAATAATTGCACTGACAAAAAGTAGCCTTCAAATAATTCAGAGAACTCCAAACAATTTGTATGTGCATAGAAAACTCCACGAGAACAGCACATCTGTCGGAACTGACACGTGAACACCCACCACCACGATGAAAGAGCTCAGGAGAGCCTGACATAAGCAAACCTTCCCATCTCTTCTACTGACAATATTTTTTTTTTGTTCAGGTTTACATTTTCCTACAACGCTTTAAAAAACCCTCGAGGAGGTGTAGAGCCAGCAGTCACCCAAACATCAAAAAATTATTCCATGTATTTTGAAGCACTTTCCTCAATTGCATGTTGGGAACTTGTCAAGAAAATGGAAAAATCTTTACAATAGGAAGTCTTATGACCTAGTAGTTCAGGATTTTTTAACTAATTTTTTCAGAGAAAGTTTCATTCTGAAGAGCTGTACTTTTCCATACTTTAAAGCAGACTGAGTCATCCACTGATGCCTCATATAATGCCACACAGTGTGAGGCTTGTGCTCTGCGAAGTGAATGGAGCAGCGAATGCTGTGTGCACTTATACTGTCACGGTGTGTAATGCTTCTTCGTGACACGGCTGCATTAAATGACAGTTGTCTCAGTCCTGTCAAAAACCAGAACAGAGCGAACACACTAACCAAGGAAGTTCCCGGTGTGGAAAGTCAAGACCGCTAACATTAAATTGTTGTCACCAGCAGCCAATTCCTTACCTGTAAAAGGCACTTGATTCTCTCTCCTGGAGCCATAATCACTGTTGTGAACACTCCCGACAGCATGCCAGCTGCAAACAGCTGAGGATATCTGCCCAGAGGAAACAGAAGTGAGACCCTGACACAGCACAGTAAATGAAGGGCAGAAAGACTTCTGTATCACAAGATTTTTCTGCTTCATACAAGGTTGGCAGTGGAACTAGAAATGCGTCCGCTCCTTTTGATCAGTGCAGAAGTGCCTCATCAATGCATAATTAGAGCTAAACATTTAAGATCTCTAGGATTCAAAGCCCTGGTTCCCACAGCAACCATAAGTCAGCTCTTCACAGCTATTGTATTTGCTAATATTCCTCACACTTGCGGTTTTTATACAGCATTCCCCATTGACTTTTATTCTCAACAGTCTCTTCTTCCCACAGTCTCCCGTATTCTTCTCAGTGACCTCAGCCTCCACGCTTCGCCCTGCTTGTGCAGTCAACAGCCTCATTTCTGTAACCCCTCAGAGGTTCTGTGCTGTTGTCGAGTCTGTCCTGCCAGCCTGCATCATCCCCCCACACTCTGCATCTACTTTCACATTTAAAAGTCTGTGACAGAAATCCCTTACACAGGCTTCCTGCATCACAAATGCATTTTGACATCCAACCCTTCCTTAGTAAGATCTAATATCTCAAATTCCACACCTTTCACTTGTCTCCATTTGCCAAAGAGATGGCATTCTAGTCAGGTTTTCCAATTCTTACGCCTTTCTTTACTCTCAAATTCCCATCCAATTTTCTCCACTCCCACCTTCCAGACCTTTCAAACCGCCCCCACCACTTCGCATGCACCTCCTGCTCAGAATAAGCTTTGAGTTTTCTAGCTCACCTTGAGATTATTCAGCCTCAGAAAAGACAGAATAGGCTCCTCGGGTTTCTTTCCATCTCCTTCCTTCCAAAAACTCCCTGCAAAATCAGCGTGGTGAACCACTGTCCTCCTGCCTGCCTCAGACCCATAACCATGGCGCTAAGTTTCTTTCTGGCCCTCACACGCCAAGAGCACCATATCTTGCTGTGTAAAGTGCACCTAAGGGGCAGCACAGTTGTGCACAATGACAGATTTACCACCTAGTTGTTGACCTGTGTTCTTTCTCTCCAAGGCAGAGCAGCAGGAGGAGTTCTACATAAACAGTCAAAAGACTACACTGCACTTCACCTTCCCCGCTAATTTCCCTTTGATACAACGCATATAAAACGCAAAGCCCCAAGGTGTTCAGGCTGCTGGCAGTAAGCCCACAGCCCGTTTATTTCCTTGAATTCTCCAATCTTTACCAACTCCCTGTCTTACTCTTCAGCCTTGCCTGCACGATGATGCCACCGTGGCAAAGTGAAGAGCCAGGAAAGCGCCCCAGCAGCCCGGCCCTGCCTCCCTCTGCACGACCCAAGCAGAGGGAGCTCGCTCCGTGCCAGGTGTGCTCACACCACCCAGACAGCAGGCGAGGCTCCAACAGAAACCGTCTCTTCCCACCCCACCACGCTCGGCTCAACACAATGGGCTCCTGCTTTCCAACAGGGCTCCTACGTATTGCACAAATAATAGCACAACATGTTGCTAAGCTACAGTTCTATTCCTGGGGAGCTATAAATCAATTCAGCAAAGAAGTTAAGGGAGCACTTCTGGGAGAGTTTTCCTCAGGCGTAAGTTAGCTTGGAGAGAGCAATACTAAGTTTTCTTAGCTTCCCTTCTCTTTTCTATAAAGTTTGACATGTCTGAGAAGAAGGCTGCTCATAAATACTACTTTTTGGAAATTAGTAATGAAACATTTCCATGACTACTACTAAACCCTAAACTAAGGGCTCAGCAGAGTCACGAGTAGCAGGGAAGAGAAAATCGGGATTTTTGAATGTCAATTTTGTCAAGATTGCTCGACCACGAATGTATTCATTCCCTAGTTTCTGTTAATAGCAAGTGTTCGCAGGCTATCATTACGTAACTCACACTGTACTCCACCAAAATGGAATTGTTCCTTAATGGCTCGCTCTTGCGTAGAAAGGGAATTGCATAGCACCTGCCCACGTGCTGGCTGCTTTTAGCCTGTGCTATCAGTCCCACGCTTCCAGAAGCGTTCAAACACACGAGTGTTTTATTTTTCAGAACTATATTTATAACCTAGGAGAAGAGACAAATTTACACCACAACTCGAAGTGTGACAATAAAGAAGCTGCAAGAGCCTCAGGGTGCCGTTCCCAACTCTCTGCTTAACTCAGAAACTCACGTCAAAACATCATCAGGTTTTCTCTGCTGGAGTCTTTTTCCCAAGCCAAATCCAAAGAAGCACACAGCAAACATGGGGGTCACTCCGATAATCGGAGCTGCCATTCCTCTGTACAAGCCTCGGATTCCCTGCAAGAAACAGCATCACAAGAATTACTTCTCTGGCATACGCTCTGCACATACTTCTATTTATTGACAAGCAAAATGCTAAGGTACAAGATAATATCAGCTAGCCAGTCATATTAATCAGAGCAATAACAGCATCTATTGTTTGTTTACAATGATACACATTTAACTGGTGCAGAGGAACGCTGCCCTTCCTGGAGAACACCGGCCCCTTTACCACCCTGCTGTTCCAACATCCATCATCCAGAACTTACACCTCAAGCACGAGGAGGTTCAGTTGAAAGCCACCTGAATGAAACTCCTATAAGAGTGGGTCAAAAAGTCCTTTCTCTCAGGTACACACAAAAATTGTGTATGTGCTTTATCGGTAAGTCATCAAAGGCAGCAGTATAAAACCCTGACACTGAGCCTGAAAATGCTGGAGCAAATTTACTCTTCAGGTAAAGAGGCAGGGAGACTAACCTGAGCTCCTTTACTCCCCACACAAACACAGTTTGGAATGAGTTCAAGAGGAAATCATTCTTCCTTTCCTTCTTCATCATATAAATCTGCATCCCTGACGTTTCCCTTCATCAGGCTGCACCCGTGGAAAAATTCTAATGCAGAACCAGTGGCAGTGTTTATTTCATTTACCTTGCCTTTGAAGTGTTGTTTTTGTTTTTTTTTTTTCTTATAAAAAGGAAGCACTTATCTGTCTAGATAAAGGCTAGGTGCACAAATTGTATATTTGCTAGTCAATCCACTCATCCTCTCTCCTCCCCAGAATAAGTCAGTGTGTCCCAACAGGTGCCCATGTGCTCACAGACACAGCTGGCTCTGTAATGAAATCCTGTTGGGTTCACAAAAATCAGACACTCTTGCTCAGCCTTCCTGTGAGCAAGGGGAAACAAAAGGCCTCAGCAGAGAAGTTTCAGTCTTCCTCACAGAAACAGATGAGTATTGAGTGGGAGCAGAGAGGCAGCGCTACTTCTGAACGCCGAATCAGAAGGCTATTATTACAGTTCAGCTCTGACGTCCGTGCTTCAGCAGGGGTGTTAAAAACTAAAACGGATTCAGAGCTAGCAGAGCAATTCAGTGCTTTGTGGGAGAGACCACGGAAACAAGATTTACTTTGGTTATATAACAGGCTGCGAATGCCATCATGAAAGCAGATTTCAGATATGAGACGGCTCATTCATTTAGGAGAGAGTTACCTAACAAGATCCAGTGGTTAGAAATCAGACTTAAGACGAGTAAATAAACGCTTGGGCTTTATAGTCATTATTTCCAAATAACAAATAGCCACTGGAAAAACATATGAAGCAGCTGAGTGGATTCTGTGACACTTAAAGTCTTTAAACCAAGGCTGCGTGCCTTTCTAAAAACAAAATAGACGATAGTTCAGTCACATGGTATGGCCGATCCAGGAGCGAGAACTGCTGTCTACATTCTGAAGATTAATCAAAACTACTGTAATTGTCCCCTTAGTCAAAAAAGAAAAAAAAGAAAAAAAGTGTATCACCTAGAATTCAAACAAACGTTCCTCTGCCTTCTCATAGATAGTTCACAGAAGAAAGTAGAAGTTCTCCCTGAATCAACAAAAGCCGTTGCCTATTTTAGGACTTCCAGAGGCAGCTCCGAATGCCGAACACAGCACGGTGCCACCAACTACAACAAAGCCAATTTGAACTGCAGTCTTTCACTCCAGACATTAATATCGTGATATTTTGTACCAAAAGCACTTCCTAACAAAACAACGAGGGCTAAATTTGGAACAAGCGGACGCTGAGCGCCACCAGCGAGACCTCCCTTCAAATTCTGCCAACTGATGAAACATTTTAATTAGAATCAACTCAGCCGATAAGCCAAGCCTTGGACAGCCCTGGGGGGCACACGGCCCCGCTCCCGTGAGGCACGAGAAGCCGCCAGCTTTGCGGTACCTCTCCAACCAGAGTCTTCCTGAAGCAGTCGAAGGTCCCAGAGTAGAGCGGGGGCTGCCCGGGCTGCGGCTTGGGCTGGGTCTGCAGCCTGACCTGGCAGGGAGGGAGAAAAAATGTGGGATTATTGAGTGTTGCTGTACTGAGCGTTGGGTTATTGGGTGCTGGGTTATAGTTTATTGGGCGTTAGTTTATTGTTCATTGGGCGTTGGGTTATTGAGCGTTGCTCTACTGAACCTGGCACCTGGAGAACATCTCCCTGCAGCCACCAGGCAGCGAGGGCAGCCTTCATGGCGCAGGTGACGGCCAGTTTCAGCCTTCAGACCGCTCCAGCCTTTGCAGAGGAGCACCAGCGGTTAATTACCAGCGGTTAATTACCAGCCGCTAATTAGCAGCCGGGCGCTGTCCAACCCCCGCCCGCAGCCCCCAGGCCCGCAGGGGGCGCCCCGCCGCCTCGCGGGGCACGCTGGGAGTTGTAGTCCCGGCCTCCCCGCGGGGCACGCCGGGAGCTGCAGTCCTCCCGCACTGCTCAAGCGCGCCCCGCGCGGTGCCCGCTGGGAAGTGTAGTTCCCAGCGCCCTCCCCGCCTCCCCCCCTCCACCCACACCCCCCTCACCTTGATGGTGTCCAGCGGGTGCCCCACGAACACCAGGCACACGCCGCCGAAGCCGCCGGCGAAGAAATTCTTCACGGGGCTGATGGGCTGCGGCTGCTCGGCCATGGCGGCGGCGGCGGCGGCTTGTGGAGGAGGAGGAGGAGGCGGTGGCGGCGGGGCTTGAGGCAGAGCCGGGGCCGGGCCGGGCCGTTCCGTCCCCGCCGAGCGAGCGCCGCCCCCGCCGCCCCGCGACCTTTCCCCCAGAGCCGAGCCGCGGCGCACGCCGGGAGCGGGGCGCGTCCCCGCGTGTCCCCCCCCCCCTCCGTTCCTCAGTGGTAGCGCCCCGCTCCCTTTCCCCCCCCCCCCCCTCACCCTTCACAGTGGTACAGCCCGCCCGCCCCGCCCGGCGGAAGTGACGCCACCCGGAGGCCGGCACTTCCGGCGTGCAGCAGCGGCGGCCCGGCAGGAGGAGCCCCGGGCGCCGCTCCCGCCTCCCCCGCCCGCTGCGGAGCCCGGTGAGTGCGGGGGGGGGGCCCAGGGGGGCCTGAGGGGGCTCTGAGGGGAGCGGGGGCACCGCCGGGCCCGTGGGGGTGTCCCCAAGCGGGAGCGGGCCCCGCCGGTACCGGTGGGGGTGAGGCAGGCTCGGGGGGCCCAGCGCCGTGTGGGGGTGGGAGGGGAGCCCGCGGGGCCCCTGGGGGCGGGGGGCGGCTGCGCTGGGGTCTGTGTGGGGATGGTGCGAGGGGGGAGCTGCTGCGCTGGGTGCTCGCTGCTGGGGTGGGAGAATCACGGGTGGAAGCTCGGGGCAGGGGGAGGCGGCGGGGGGCGCGTGCTGAGGGTGTGAGGAGGCGATTGAGGCTGATCCCTGGATTACAGGCTCCAGAGGCATAGGCAGAGATGGGATTAACGCTGGTAGCGAGCGCGGAGCGGGGGCTGTAGAGGGCTTCCGAGGAAGGCGAGGGTGCCAGTCCGCCTAAACTTGGCGTGGGTAAGTAATTCCGGAGGCAAACTCGAGTCACGCTGAGGATTGTCAATACAGGAGTGAGAGGAAAAAGTGGCAGAAAAAGTTCGTTGAAGTAACTGTGAAATCCCAACAGAAAAAGCAGCAGGGAGGAGCGGCTTCCAAAAGAGTTTGAGAAGTCCCACGGAGGTAGACACAGAGGGCAAGGAGTCAGAGAAAAGCGATGTGGTGAGACAGAAACGAGGAGGGATGCAGGAACTTGCTGTCTGGCCATACTGAGGGCAGAGGGGACATCCCTGCTGGAGCTGGCGGCTCAGGACATGGGGATGGGAGCATTTACAGGGTGGCTGGAGGAAGAGAGGGGGCTGGATCAGTGCTAGGGCAGGTGAAAGGTGAAGGAGCACCGATGATGGAGGTGGTGAAGTGGGACCTCATCTTACTTCCACGTAGGAAAGTGATCTAAACGTTGTTTAAAACTTTATAAGCTGATCTGGGGGATTACGGTAAGTTACCCCAAATACTCCCCAAATACTCTTTGTTCTTTTGACCCTCTTTTTGAATTTATCATCCTTATTGTCTTAGCCAACGTTTTATAGCTCTAGTTTATCTCTTATCTTAGTTTGTAAGCAGAGAGCTGAGCGGGTCTGAGAGTGTGAGGCTGAGCGCTAGGTGAGTTATGGCCCTTGTTTTCTCGGCACCTGGTTTTGTTTTGTCCTCAGAAGCCTTCCTCCTCCTCCCTGTCACACATATCCATCCGGCGTTAAGTTATGCTGGAAATAAACGCTTTCCTAGGGTGCTGTGACAGGACTCACAAAAGACATCCAGTCTGCTGCCTGTTCCCTGCTGGTATGCCCCGTTTGCCCACACGAGCAGTTCTCTGTTAGTTCAAGTACGCATTAGGTGCCCAGAGAAAGGCTCTGCCCTCCCATGGGCCTCTCTTCCCCAGGGCTGGCACATCACCGCTCAGGTATTGTGTAGGCCCCTCGCTCTGCTGAGGCCTCTAAAAGCAGCTCCTTGCTTTGAGACACGCTGAGGTTGCACACAGACCATCAGTTAAACGTGCTTTTTTCTGTCTCTAACATGTTGCGATGATCAGAATGAGTTTGGGAGCTCCTCTGGTGAAACGTGCCTGGGCCTCGTGGTGCTCTGAGGCTTGCTGAGCACAGCTGCCACACATTCAGCTCCTGGGGGGGGTCAGTATAGGTTTCCCTTGTGTCTGCCAAACCAGATTGCGCATCTGGGTCCTTCCAACGTGGAGACAGAGCGCCGCTGCTCCACCCGAGTTCTGCAGGAGGCAGTGATGTAAAGGGTCTGTATGTTACGCTGTGAGCAGCTAAGAAATCAAGAGGCAAATGAGAGGAACGGAGACCAGAGTTCCAGGGATAATATAATTAGCTCCTGGCCAGCCTCTCGCACTGGGGGAGGTTTGTATCTGTTGAGCTCGCCTCAGCTCCTCAGATGAGTGGTGCATCGCATCTCTCGGTGCTTTATCTGTGCTGCCTGGGCAGTTTATTGGAACCAGAAAACAAACTGAGGGAAAGTAATGAAAACTTATGGCTGAGATTTTCTGTGCTCTGAAGTCAGGCATGTCAAAGCTTGATTATGGGCTCCCTAGCAGCTACAAATCGTGAAACTGTGGGGGTGTGTGTATGTATCAGAGCTAACAAGATAACGTGAAATGCCACGTACATATAAGAAACCAACATATGCTGCCTGTAGAAAATACAACTTTTACGTCTGTATTTTCATACAAAAAGTTTGGTCGCAGCACTGTGTTTTAACTCTTTTGTGTTTAAGAGATTCTCTTTTGAAACTAAAGGAATTGGTTACATGGTAAGTGCTCTACCTGCTGAACCTCTCAGAGCTCTAATTCATGTCGTTTTAGTTACAAACCTTCTTCTAGCGTAGCCCCAGTAAGTGAAGTCAAACACATGAATTTTCCAATACTGGTGAGACTGAAAAAATAGCTTGGCTCTTCTGATTCCTCTCGAACAGCAGCTGCCAACACTTGAATACAAACGTTTATGTTCAGAAGGTAATAAGTATGTACGCTGAGACAGTAATGAGAGCACTTATTTTATTACCCCCCGAAGAGGTGAGGCCCAAGCCACATCACATCCTGCAGAACCTAGTTAAAGGGATTATTAACACCACTGTTTCTTTGGGATGGTGTTGGAGAGGGTTAAATGGGGTGTCTGAGAAAGTTCTGTTTGCCCATCATGTTTTCTAAAGTCCCACTGAATCCTGTGGGTCTGAAGCAACGTGGACGTGTACAGGGTGTCACAGGTTCCCTCGTAGCTCCTGTGATCATAGTTAAGGTGTTTTTATCCTGCTGATGAAATGCAGATAATGCTTTTCTGCACTACTACGGGCTGTTGGTAAAAGCTTAATGTTGAAAATCTGGGTGGATTTCTGAAAAGATGCGTAGTGAAGGCTATGGGACCGCTTTCTGAATGACAGAAGTCTGGGGGCCCTTGCTGGGGACCAGGCAGCAATGCAATAAAAACCCATCTCCGAGGTTTTAGACCTCACCTGTCAGAGCAGCTCTGCAGATGCACGAGTTGCAGTGGCTCCAAACCAGGGGCCTGCACAGCCAAATCCTCCTCAGCTGGGTTGTTGTGTCGGGCTGTCCCTGACTGTTCGATCACCCATGCGATGCTGCCGTGTCCTCTCTTACCATTTCTTAGGCAACAGAAAAAAACTGTTTTTCCCCCCTTAGGAGACAGAGCTCAGATGAAATCAAAAGAACGATAAAGTTTGGAGGAGAGAAAGACGCTGCAATTGCTTTCCTGGTCTGCAGTTTGGCAGGGCACTAAGATGTCCGTGGACATGAACAGCCAGGGCTCTGACAGCAACGAAGAGGATTATGACCCTAATTGCGAGGAGGAGGAAGAGGATGAGGATCCTGGGGATATTGAGGATTATTATGATGGGGTAGCTAACGACGTGGAGCAGCAGGGAGCAGATGCCTTTGATCCAGAGGAATATCAGTTCACCTGCCTGACTTACAAGGAGTCGGAGAGCACTCTGAATGAACACATGGCCAGCTTGGCTGCCACGTTAAAGGTGAGGAAAGGTTTCTGCACTAACACAGGGGTAAAGTAAGTTAATTGAGAAGGCAAATGCCAACCTGTACACTCTGAACTGAAAGCTGTGGCAATGTTACTGGTACAGGGGGGGTTAGAGGAATGTTCTTGAAGGTCCCTTGTTCAAAACAGATTCAAAGGTTTGCAGTTGTTGCACACTGGTTTGGGGGCCTGAAAGTCTTCCCTGCTGTATTGTTGATTCTTACAACTTTTTTTTGCAGAGCTGAGATTCGTGCCCAAAGTCTGAGTTAAACACTTTGGCACCAATGCAAAGAGGATGCATAGAAAAGAAACAAATCGAATAATAGATGGTACAGTTTGGTTCATCTGTGTTCCAGAAGATAACTGACAGATAGGAAGATGTGCTAAAACTCCAGTTCTAACAAAAACACCTCACTTTGTTGGTTCTGAGTGAATAATCATAGACTTTCAAAAAAGACAGATCAGCTGTCGTGCCAGGCATTAACCCTCCCGTTGCAGTGACAAGCAATTAAAGTACAATGAACTTGCCAGCTCTTGTAGTGACTAATTCATCACAGAAGATTCCCACTCCAAGTCAGCTCCGTGGTGTTATATTCAATAAGACTTCTGTGAAGTTTTCCTTCTCTTTGTGTGACTGATGACTCTAGCATAGACTGGAAGTAAGAGGAGGTTCCCTTTCTGCCTTGTCAGCGTGCTTTGGTCCGAGCACAGGTCAGAGGAAAGCTGAGTTTCCTAAGCAGCAAGGTGTTGGCGTTTGGTTGAGATTAGCAATGTGTCTACCTTGTAGCAGGTCTCTCCTAGTGCTTGTTGTTCTCTGGAGCAACCCCTGAAGACAGAGGTAACTGCAGCACATAAAAACCTCGTTGGATAGATTTTAATTCACATTAATTTGGCCTGGACCTTTATTAATTGCAGAGAGATCTTGTTCACCCTTTATACATCAGAGTCTTAGGGAAATAATGTAAACATAAAGCCTGAAGACTAAAGCTTACAGGCTATAAAGTGTGCCCATACTGCAGCTCGAGCTGATTTTGCTGCCTGTTGTGCCTATTCCCAGCATTCACCACCACAGAAAATGAACTGTTTTACTCTTTCTTAGCTTTCAAACTCTTGACTGTGATTTCTTCAAAACGTGCAGTTTGAGCTCTGAATGCCTGCAGCTCCCTGCAGATTGTAAGAAAAGGGAGGCAAAAGAAAAGAGCAAATGAGAATCGTTGGTCAGC